GTGATAAAGGCCTAATAAAATGCTTAGGTGAGATTCCCTAGTTGGCAATATGCATTATGCTGTCACAAATTGTTGCAGGGAGGTGTTGTTAACGTTTCATAACTCCGCTGGCAAATGACTAGACTCTGCTTCATGTTGTCTCTTCCCTTTGCTGATTTTGCTTTGTGTCCTTTGGTCTAATAAACACTAACGTTGAGTATAATAGCTTTTGGTGAGTTCTGTGAGTCCTTCTATTAAATTATCTAATCCAAGGGTGGCTTTGGAGAGAACTCTGAACCCTGCAGTTGGTGTCAGATGTGAGTGCAGTCTTATGGACTGTTTCTAAGCATTGCACTGTGTCACAATAGTATTAATATTACTGTATCATGTTTATTACTCAAAAATTGGGATGAATTTTATTGCCTCCATTGAATGAATCTGGTAGTTCCCATAGAAGCCCGTCTGTTTACCTGCCTGTAGATTTGCAAAGAGTGATAAACACTTTTTTGGTTCTTATTGAAAGATAAAGGAAAATGAAAGCAGTTAAGTCTAAGCTTCCTTGACAGCCTTACAAACTTGAGGGCTTCAGGAATTCAAGGACGACCATATTTCTCTGAATCACCAGTGTCCATATAGATGACTAAGCCAGAGATAGTTAATGATTATCTTTTAAATGAATTGACATGTAAGTACTCTTTCCATCATTTATAAACAAAAAACTAGTGCCATGGTACAATTTACTAGGGCATTTTGACACACAAGAATCTCCTTATAAGCTTTCATGACTCAATTCTTTAGATTCTTCTTTAACTCTTAATCAGTTATCTTGCACTTTAAACATTGTAATTTTTTTTAGTATTTCTTAATCATCAGTTTCAATACCTATATTTTAAATAAATTTTTATGTTAGCTTTTTTCTCAGTTCATTGCTCTTGGTCATGGTTACTTGTTTCATGGTGTTTCTGGTTAATTTTGGTTGTGAAACTGCTCATTCTTTTTTTTTTTTTTTTTTTTGATATTTATCTGTGGAGGCCTAAAATGAAGCTTATTCTTTGAGAGAGGACTTGCATTTGCTTTTACCAGGTGCTCAGGGGCACTAAACCAGTCGGGGTTCTCTATATTAAATTCTCAGCCTAGGTGTTTTGAATCCCTGTGGTATTAATGCTGAAAGAAATGCATGTGAAGGCTGGCTTATAGTCCAAATTCTCAGTGGTGGAATCTACTTGTTCAGCACCAAGGGTCAGGGCAGATTTTGCAATCATCTGTGGTGAGTATGTGAGTGTTTATTTCTAGTTCATTTTGGTCTGATGTCTCAGCTTCACTGGGAAGAGTCCTTATCATGCTCCGTACCACGGACAGGTTTCACATAACACTCTTTAAAAATCAAAGCTCAGGTTTGGGTGAAAGCTAGCTGTGGTGTTTGGGGTTTCCCTGGGTCAAGCAGCTGGGAATGAGAGTTCCTTATTTCATAGTGGCTCTTCACAGTGTTTTGTAAATTTAAGTATTATTTTAGATTTTAATAGTCCATCCAAGTACCCACTTGCCCTATTATGGAAAATCTATCCCCATAATCCAGAGCACCTGTTTAGGATTCTCACCTTCTCCCAAACCCTAGGGTTTCTAAATTCATTCCTCTTAGCCAACAACACCCCCTTTCTAAACTCTCCACCTCAACCAGCCCTTGCCTTCCTTTCCACCCTCATCTACTTCGCAGTCTCCTTGGTGACCTCTGACCATTGATTCCTTTCCTCCAGGCCCCTCCCTCCCAGCCCCCTTTTCGAGATTCCAGAGATTTAACTTCCCCACAAATCTATTCCAGCAGCGAACACCCTTAAAGCTATCCTACATCGTGCAGTAAAACCACATCCAGCCAGAAGGGGCTTTTCTTCCCTTTCTACTTCCTCTCCTCCCTCAATGGTCGGGGACATCCGGGAAAGAGGAAAGGGTGCTGTAAAGGGGGCGTCAGTCCTGAGTCAAGACATCTTAACGGATTGAGGAGTGGGTTTCTGTCTTGTAACCCTGAGGACCTTAAATCTGAATGCTACCGAAGGACTATAAATTGAATAGGACTTTCAGAGAATCAAAGTATAGTAACTGACAAGATTGACTGGAAGGCGTGTCAAAGGCTTCCCGTTCTTCTCCCTCGGTGCCTTTAGGATAGAGTACAGGCTCCTTCCCCACCTTCCCCACCCGCTGCTCAGAGCCTCCAGCGGAAATTGGACCAATTTTCAAGAAAACAAACCAGAAAAACCTTTATAGTTATTTCTGTGATAACTCACATTGTCTTCAGCCTTTTTTTGTTCAGAAACACATGTCTACATACTTAGAAAAAGAGAATAAAAACGGAAAAGAAAAACTGAGCAGAATGAAGTAGTCAGAGCATGCTTTTGTGGTGAGTAAGCGGTGATCGCCAAATCCGGGATCAAAGGCAGGATCAACTTGCAGACCTACACACGGAAAGGAAAGCTGTACACTTGAAATGGTATTTTAGTGTAAGTTAATATCTGGCTATGTAATACTACATAATTTATAGTTCTATGGGACTGTACTTGCCCGTAGTGAGCGCGCAGTTTATGGCACGTTGTCTAGGTTTCCTATAATTACTTCCTCCGTAAGTACATTAAAACATTAAAAAGTGGTAGTGGAGCTTTGAATTTAGCAGGACAAATCTGAAAAATCGCCTTTGCAATAAAAGGATACAACTCATTTACTGAAAACATGCATGGCTCTTAAAAGAGCCTTTGAGATTAGGTGTAAAAAACGCTTACTTGGCAAGTTTACTTGGAGCTGGTGTACTTGGTGACGGCCTT